GTGGTGAGTATTTTGAAAAAATACGTAGCCGCAAACCACAAGGACTGGGACGTGAAACTCCCTCTGGTCCTCATGGCCATAAGGGCCACTCCACACACGTCGACTGGCATCTCCTTTCGAGATGATGACGGGTCGACAAATGACTCTCCCTCTGCACCTGTTGTACCAACCAGGCGATGCTGCCATGGCAACAGCCTACACTACACAACAATACATGAAAGACTTGGAAAGACACCTTAAAAACACTTTTGCTTTCGCACAGAAAAACCTGGAAAAATCAACTGAAGGACGCAAAGCGTACTACGACCAAAAGGCCTCTCACGAGGAACTCCAAGTGGGAGACAGGGTCTGGTACTACACGTTTGCCCCCACAACTGGGAGAAGAGAGTCCGGGACCGGAACTCTCGCCCGTAAACTGATGCCCAGATGGACTGGACCCCATCTGATAACAGACAAACTGTCTCCAGTTGTCTATCAGATAAAAATCAGTAAAGGCCAAAAAGAGCCAACTGTTAAATGGGTACATCGTAACCAGGTTAAACCACACAAGGCGTGCAATAACTCCTCAGGAGACAAAGATCTCACAAAATCTGACCTCGTGGGAATAAGGGTCATCCAAGCAGAAGATAACTAATGGATAATAAATTTAACCATAGTTTAAACTCACAGGACCTAAGAAACAAACAAACGGGACAGCGTGACTGAATCTGGCAACCAGGGTGAGGTGAAGCAGTGAAACGATGTTTCTAGTTGCTTAGTCACTACTCTTGTCGATGTTGAAACGTTGTTTACTTGGTTTTGGTTGTTTCTGAGGAAAGAATGAATTTTGTGTGTAGTTAAGTTAGAGACTAAGAGGCCTTTAACCATGCCAACATGCAGTTCATTCGTTAGTTTGCAATCTTTGCGGAGTCAATGTAGATTAATGCTACCTTAAGTACCATAATCTACATTGATCTCACAACGCTTAAGCCGAACCTACTCGAACAATTCTATTCGGGGGGATAGCTAATTCTTTTTGATGAGTCTCGCCATAGACTTCCAAAAACATTTATGGGGAAACCAAACACCCAATCTCAAGTCGTTCGTCTAAAAGACAACAGACAATTGAACCAAACTATATTTTACCATGTAAAGCTAACTTAAACCAAGTTAGAAATGGAAAAATAGTTTGGAACCCTTTCCTATAGGTATAAACCCCTATAGTCACCCTTTTCAGCATGTTCCACCCCTTAACTGGTAGTTGTAACTGTTCCCAATCATAATAGCTTACACACCAGGTGCATATAGTTTAAGGCCTTATGTAAAATCCCCTTCATAAGCCCACCTTCAACCACATAATTGCATGTCACATTGAACCAGAACGGCACAGGCTGGACGTCGCCCAGAGACGACCTTCGCTGGAGGCGACCTGCAATCCTGACGTTGGTCTCCACTCTTCATCCAGTGGCCGCATCTTCAGTTCAATCCAAGGGTACCCCTCTGTATGTTGATCAATCAACACTTCCAATCGTTGTGGATTTACCGTTGTGGATTATATGACTTTTTCCAATGGATTACAGACTCTGTTTCCAAGGGGTTAAAGCATTGCTACAATGGAATTACCAACAACATTATGGAATTATCATCAACACAATGGAATTACCAAGACCATTGTGGAATTACTTTTGACTTTGGTCTTCCTTGCTGGATTACATCAAGCTCAAGGACATTCGAAGGCGTAAGTTCATGTTTGGAATTCATCCCCATTCACAGGCGATGATTTCCAAAGGGGGGACTGTAGTGAACTTGACCTGATGTCAAAACTTGACCTTAGGATCATATGGTCAGAAACTGTCATTTCATTGATTTGCATCCCGAAATACAGGTTGACCCATCCTGAGACTTTCTTTCTTGAATTAATCAAGTGGAAAAAGACAATTCTCTATGATCATTACTATTTTACAAATGTTTTGATAATCAAATTGTGTTAGTTCAAACAATGTTTACATGTTGAAGTGAACTACTCATTTTTATTTACTTAAAACAGTAATAATGATTTTTATTCCTCATTCAAAGAAGAAATCAGGTTAATATGCATTTCTTGATTTTCTGTCTTCAATGAGCAAAGTTGTAAGTGTGTCAAAGTTCAAGTTTCGGTCAACTGAAAGTTTACTGAAAAGAAATGTCATGTTTAACTTTTACAGCAAGATACTTGGTGAGTGGCTCCACGAAGTCTGGTTTTTTCCATGATATCTTTCTGTCTGTTCTTAAACAATCTGAATCTTTTCCTTGACTTTTAATAACACCTTACATCACAAAACACACCTCTGTTGGGGTCCATCGACCAATCAGAGGCTCTCAAATGAACCGGAAGTAGAGCCCATTAAAATGTTGGCACTTCCTAGTTCAAGCAGAGTTTTTGGAATTCAGAATGCAGAGAGTTTGGGAGTTCCAGAATGCAGAACGCTGGAATTCAGGATGCTGCTGAATTAGAATCAAGCTGATCCAGAGACGATTTTGGGAATTATAACTTCTGTTTGGATAACCTCACACGACTCTCGAGGTTCGAGCTGTTCTCACGGAGACGCTGAAAGAGTTGAAAGGAGAGCTCTACACCAACGCTGAACTATCGTCTGCAAGGTAAAAAGTTCTATTCTCAACCAAGCGTACCGTTGGCCCAAGCTGGAAAAGAAGGAGCGTGTCGGTTCTGGTTAAGACAGACAAATTCCCTCACACATCTCTCTGTAGATAAACCTCATCTTTCCATCTTTAACTCTCCTATCTGCTAGCAAATTAATCCAGATGTTTTCAGAAATGTCTGTGGTGAAGCAACGGAAAATCATGGCCGTATGGTTTTCCTAGTTGTAAAGCTGATTAATTATGTCGTTATTTTTCAATTCTTGCCAATTAATTTAAATGTGTGATGTGTTAAACTTGATTCTGTTAATAAATGACCCACTCGTTTGGTGAGTCAAAGATAATTAACGTCTCACGTCCACATTTTTATTACATTCAACGCACGTTGATATACAGTCCAGAAAAATGAAAGAACCCATTTTAACAGTATGAATATATCTCAGGATATGTCATACTACATCTG